CCTCTGTCCTCCTTGCTTTGCCCCCTGCTTTCTTTTTTATTTTCTTTTATTTTCTTTTTTTCCTTTTTTTTTTTTTTTTTGCTTTTCCTTTGCATTTCCTTTGTATTCCCCATGCATTTCTTTTGCATTTCATTTGCTATTCCCTTGCATTTCCTTTACCTTTATTTTACTTTTCCTCTGCTTCTCTTTTGCTTTTCCTGTGCATTTCTTTTCCACTTCCTTTGTGCATCCTTTGCATTTTCTTTGCATTTCCTTTGCATTTCCTTTGCATTTTTTTTGCATTTCCTTTGCATTCCCTTTCTTTTGCATTTCCTTTGCATTCCCTTTGCATTTTCTTTGCATTCCCTTTGCATTTTCTTTTGCGTTTTCTTTGCATTCCCTTTGCACTTCCTTTGCATTTCTTTTGCATTTCTTTACATTTACTTTACATTTCTTTTGCATTTCATTGTTTTTTTTCTCTCCTTTTTTTTTTTCTTTTTGCTTTCCCTCTTTTTTCCCCATTTTGCAAGCCTTGTGGTGCGGAGGCCACCGTGGGACCCGGCTCTCTCGCCCCTCAACAGCGGCGACCTTGTGATTCACACTTGAAGATTTAACTTTTTTCTTTTCCTTTTTTTTTGTGTTTTTCCTTTTTTCCTTTAATTTCTCCTTATAATTCTCGTCGACTTGTGACTGTGGTTACTTGAAATGAAGTTTTCTCCGGGGGTTGAGTGACGGGCAGTAGATCTTTACAATGTCTCAAGGCAATAGGATTAATGTGTATTAAACTGTAGATACTACTAGTACAGTAAATTTATGCCGATAATTTTATTTTGTATAATTTCCCCCTTCTTTTGTTGGTGTTTTTATCTTACACTTTTTTCCCTCCCAACCCTTCCAGCGTTTCGGTAAATTTATTTTTAGGAGGCCTAAAAAAAAAAAATTGCAAGTTTGGATCCTTCCCTCTCTTTATTATTATTTTTTTTTAATTTGTATTTTATTCTGAGTTACACACCGCCAACTGGTTGGTGAAATGTATTATTCCTGATATCTTTAAAATATTGTGGGTGTTTTAATAAATTTTATATTTATTTTTTGCACTCAAATTCAGCGGCTCTTTTTGGTTGCTGTTTCACGGGGGGGCGGGGTCTCCCGAGCTGGGGGCGTGGCTTGAGGGCTTCTCCCCTTTCCTTTTTTCCCCTGCTTCTTTTCTCCCCTCTTCTCCCCTTTCCTTTTTTCCCCTGCTTCTTTTCTCCCCTCTTCTCCCCTTTCCTTTTTTCCCCTGCTTCTTTTCTCCCCTCTTCTCCCCTTTCCTTTTTTCCCCTGCTTCTTTTCTCCCCTCTTCTCCCCTTTCCTTTTTTCCCCTGCTTCTTTTCTCCCCTCTTCTCCCCTTTCCTTTTTTCCCCTGCTTCTTTTCTCCCCTCTTCTCCCCTTTCCTTTTTTCCCCTGCTTCTTTTCTCCCCTCTTCTCCCCTTTCCTTTTTTCCCCTGCTTCTTTTCTCCCCTCTTCTCCCCTTTCCTTTTTTCCCCTGCTTCTTTTCTCCCCTCTTCTCCCCTTTCCTTTTTTCCCCTGCTTCTTTTCTCCCCTCTTCTCCCCTTTCCTTTTTTCCCCTGCTTCTTTTCTCCCCTCTTCTCCCCTTTCCTTTTTTCCCCTGCTTCTTTTCTCCCCTCTTCTCCCCTTTCCTTTTTTCCCCTGCTTCTTTTCTCCCCTCTTCTCCCCTTTCCTTTTTTCCCCTGCTTCTTTTCTCCCCTCTTCTCCCCTTTCCTTTTTTCCCCTGCTTCTTTTCTCCCCTCTTCTCCCCTTTCCTTTTTTCCCCTGCTTCTTTTCTCCCCTCTTCTCCCCTTTCCTTTTTTCCCCTGCTTCTTTTCTCCCCTCTTCTCCCCTTTCCTTTTTTCCCCTGCTTCTTTTCTCCCCTCTTCTCCCCTTTCCTTTTTTCCCCTGCTTCTTTTCTCCCCTCTTCTCCCCTTTCCTTTTTTCCCCTGCTTCTTTTCTCCCCTCTTCTCCCCTTTCCTTTTTTCCCCTGCTTCTTTTCTCCCCTCTTCTCCCCTTTCCTTTTTTCCCCTGCTTCTTTTCTCCCCTCTTCTCCCCTTTCCTTTTTTCCCCTGCTTCTTTTCTCCCCTCTTCTCCCCTTTCCTTTTTTCCCCTGCTTCTTTTCTCCCCTCTTCTCCCCTTTCCTTTTTTCCCCTGCTTCTTTTCTCCCCTCTTCTCCCCTTTCCTTTTTTCCCCTGCTTCTTTTCTCCCCTCTTCTCCCCTTTCCTTTTTTCCCCTGCTTCTTTTCTCCCCTCTTCTCCCCTTTCCTTTTTTCCCCTGCTTCTTTTCTCCCCTCTTCTCCCCTTTCCTTTTTTCCCCTGCTTCTTTTCTCCCCTCTTCTCCCCTTTCCTTTTTTCCCCTGCTTCTTTTCTCCCCTCTTCTCCCCTTTCCTTTTTTCCCCTGCTTCTTTTCTCCCCTCTTCTCCCCTTTCCTTTTTTCCCCCCGCTTCTTTTCTCCCCTCTTCTCCCCTTTCCTTTTCCCCCCGCTTCTTTTCTCCCCTTTCCTGTTTTTTTGCCTCCTTTCTCCCTTCTGCTATTTTTATTCCCCCATTCTTTTTCCTCCCTTTTCTCCCTGTGCCATTTTCACCCCCTTTTCCACTTGCCTTTTTCTCATCCCTTTTCTCTCCTTGTCCCTTTTTCACCCCCTTCTCCCCTTTCTTCTGCCCCCCCGCCCATTTTTTCACCCCCTTCTCTCCTTGACTTTTTCCTCTTTTTTTTAAACCCCCTCTCCCTTTGCTGTTTTTTTCACCTGTTTTTTACCCCTTCCTGCCTGACTTCTTCCCCTCCATTCCTTGTCTCCCTCTTCCCTTTTATTCTTTTCACTTTTTTCTTTCCCAACTAGGCCACACATTTTGGAACAGGGAACTTGTCCTGTGTAACTTTACGCACACAGGATAGTTAAGGAAAGGAGGGGACAGGGACATCTGCTGCCATCCAGCGTGTGACACGTTGGCCCCTCGATTTCCTTTGCAGGTGGCTGCGGGGCCATGTATGAAATCCACATTGAATCCGAGGAATTCCGGGAGAAGCGGATGGTGCAGCAGCACCAGATGGTGAATCAGGTGGGGGACAGAGCCCCACGTTTGAAGGGGGCTGCTGCTCTCGGAGCTTGGGGACTTTGGAGCCCCTTTTTTGGTGACCTGACGCTGGTGCCTCTCTGCCCGCAGGCGCTGAGCGAGGAGATCAAGGCCATGCACGGCCTGCGCATCTTCACCTCCATCCCCAAGGAGCTGCCTCCGGCCAAGAGCTTGTGCCAGGAGCGGGAAAATGGGAAGTGACCTCAATAAAGCTGCTGCGTCCGTGTGTTGGACTCAAGTGCTGCATTTCAAAGCTCAAACGCAGCCAGGGATACATGGAGGGTTTGGGGTGCAAACACAGAACACGAATGGGAAGGAGAAACTTTATTATTGCCTTTTTGAGGAGGAGGGTCCCTGCTCCCCCTTCCCAAGGTTGCACATAGAAAAGCTGCTGCTGGAGGCCCCTGCCCGGGCAGGGAGGCGGCCCCAGCACTGAGGCACTTTGTCCACCCGTGTCCCGCTCCCACCCCAAGCTGCCAGGAAGGGGCTTTAAGGCTCATTGTCAAGAAGCAGTTCGGATAAGCGAGGCTGCCGGCTCTTCCCGGGCACCCAGCGCCGGGCTTGGCTTCCGTGGCCGAGTCCAGAGGGAAATTGCAGCTGTTTTGCTCCAAAGTCACAGCTGCTTCCTTGGAAAGCTGCACGCTGAGCCCCGTTCTAGAGCAGGCTGGAATGACACAGCTGAACAGGACTCACTAGCTGCAGATTCTAGCGAGGTTTTGCCGAGGCCTCAAGTTGGGCTCTGCCGAGTGCCCTCCGGCTTCTCCGGGAGAGCGAAGCGGGAAGCGGCGCCGCGTTATCTGTCCTTGGAGCCCAGCTTCTCGATGAGCTCCTGCAGCGGGGCCAGCTCGCGCCTGTCGATCAGGTTGAACTCCTGGGGGAAACGGAGAAAGAGCTGCTGGAAAACGCCCAACTCGAGCTCCGGACGCCGCCTCCATCGTTCCGAGCGCTCCAG